GGCGCGATGCAACGCAACGCGTAAAAAGACAGTATAAGTCATTATAATCCATAATTATGTCCCCACTGGATGCAACGAATACCTCGTTTATAATGGGTTTTCATGTTTTTGAATCATCGCTCCGGCCTGACAAGGCATCATCACAATATGGTGAGGGGCGTAACATTTACGTCTCACGCTTGAGGTATTCGGCCAATCACAACGCACTGGATAGCTGGCCAATCACAGCACACCTCGCTTTTTCAGACCGATGAGCTTTGTAAAAATCAACGCGTTTCAGAAAGGCAGGGCATAGAGGAGAAACAATAATGTACAGTATGTGGAAAATAATGTGTTTTTTAACCTTAAACCGCATAAACACATTTCATTACACCAAATACACAAAATACTGTTCTTTTTAGCAGCATCATATGATCTTTAATAGAACAAAAAAAACACACTGTGCCATATTGTGATTTTGGCTGCATCCAAAATCTCAGTCTGTTGGGTAGGTATTTTTTTGAACAAGTAATTACTTCACGACCACAACAAGTATGTTCTATACTGTATGAATGTGTGTAGTATGAATGTAATGTGGACATACTACATTCGCCATTTTGACGACATGTGACCGGCATCTGCCATTCATAAATCCTCTCCCGTGGCCTCATGGGATAGTAAAGTGTTCAACGTATGCACACTTCAGAATCTTGCTGGAAGTAGTAAGTCATCCAGGTACTTTTGCCTACTGTTTTATGAGTACTATGAATTCGGGCATACTTCTTTTGTCACATACTATTTTTCACCTACTATATAGTAGGTAAGAATAGGATTTCGGATGCAGCCTTCGGTTTTATTTCGATTACTCATGCAGCCCTACGTTATAGCATCAGTTACTTTGAAAATAAACCTTAAAACGTAGCTAGCACTGACCTGCAGGGCATTGTAGAGCAGCTGATGTTCAAACTTCTTGATTCCCAGGATCTGCTGGAACATCTCATACAGCTGTTCTTTGCTGAGGATGAGTTCGGATACAGCGCTGAAGGGCATGCGTCCCTGCGGCCGCCGCTGGTCCTCTTCTCCTTTGTAGATGGCGTCGTATTTAGTGATCCAGGAGCTGAGGACAGTCTCTTTGCTCAGGCCGTCGATCTCGGGCAGGCTGCGCACACGACGCTCGATGTTCTTCTTGAAGACCTCGCGGAAGTCACTGGCAGAACAGCCTCCGCTCTGTACCATGCGTGCCACTCGCTCGCTCTTCAAGAAGCCCTGAGGGAAGAAACAGTGAGAGGGTCAATCCAGCGGTTCACTGATGAACACAAGAAAGTTTTATTTTTATTTTTTATTCTTTTTTTACTCATCATTACATTAGAAATTCAGTTTATACATAAAATGAATGCACTTTAATAGGTTATATGAAGAAAGTGTTTTTAATTTCTGAATGAATCCTGAATTGATAGTTGGATACTTGGTAAATACAAGAAAGACATCAGAGAAATATCAGCTTCAAATTTCCTTGAGAATTTAATAGTTCATTGGTTCCATTAAAATTCCCATTCAAGTGGTGGCCAAAAAAAGCAATGATACTGGATAATTTGCAGTGCTTTTTGGTACCATGTCAGGGTGATTCAACTGTCCTGCTATTATAATAAAGAAAAATAGAGATTAAAAAAAAAAAAACTTAATTTTTAGTAGTTTGACTTTTTTAAATATTATTTTTATTATTATTTCTTAGTAATGACTGGTCAATATGTCAAGGTCAATAAGAACAGATTTTTTATTTATTTATACATTTATATATTTATTGTAAAGAAAACCTTAAATGAGTAGTTTGACTTTATTATTACTTTTATTATCATTTCTTAAAAATAACTGGTCAGCATGTCAAGGTCAACAAGTCTCTTAAAATTTATGATAATATTTTTGATATCTTTGATATCCTGATATTTTTAATATCTTTGAGGCATAAAGTAAAAAAAAAAATGTCAGGTTGATGCAACTGTCCTGTTATCATAATAAAGAAAAAGTAAAAAAATAAATAAAATAATAATAATATATATATATATATATATATATATATATATATACAGTGTTGGGGGTAACGCATTACAAGTAATTATTAAGTTACTATTACTATTATTAAGTTTATGTATTTATATATGCTATATATTAGGGATGGGGAGATTCCCCGATTTGCTCGGTGCATCGGCATAAAAAGTTAACGATGTGATGCATCGGTTTAAAAAGTGTGCATCGGATACAAGTTGGCATTTATATAGCGATGCATCGTTTCTAACATATTTGCATCGGTAAAAACCGATTAATTTATATATAATTACTAGTGGATGCGCTATACTTTTATTATTTAGAAAGTGACCAATAATCTGTGACCAATATGTTATATGTAGATTGATTTCTCCTCTCTAAACTGTGTCTCAAGCGCGTTCTCTCATCACCACTGCTGTGTGAATATGACGAATCACAACACCACGGAGACCCGAGGAAAAACTGGGATTAAAGTCCAAAACCTGACCTGAAATAACCTAACAAATCAACCGGGGCTAAAGCGGTTCCATAAACGACAAATTAAGTTCACACAATCTCACGAATTTGTGCAAGTTTATTTTTAAGCAGCTCTTAATGTCTTAATGTCTTAAAGCTCTTAATTTTCATTTGTCATTTTTCATTTTTTCATTCAGTGATTTTAACTTTTAATTTAGTTATTTTAATGCTTTAAAGAGCAATTT